TAATAAGAAATGAGCACAATTTATATCTACAATAATTATTTTAATTAACTTGATGATGGAATTAAAAAGGGTCATTAATATATGGATTTTGGTATGTACATTGTGCCTTTGATAAATATAGATTAAATATTTGTGCCTTTTACTTTCATGTCTCTACCGAGTATTTTGTACCTGAAGCATTTTAATCATGTTATTTTATTGGATTAACTATTGTAATGCATATTAAGTCATTGAGTCATTTTTATTATGTGAATGTCACAATCTAGAAAGACTTAATTAAACATGCAATGAAATTGTAATACACTAGCCTGAAATATAAAAATTGCATATTCTTAACAAAAGTTAAATTATAAAATCCAATTGTAAAATAACCACCAATCAAGCATGTTAAACATTATATTGTGGTAATTTATCTAAATGTAAATTGTAATTATCGCAATGTACATTTTTGATCATACGGTACCTTTATTTCGTTTAGTTTAACGTTTACACTGCATATTTATCACATATAAACTTAATAGATAATAATAAGACTAATACTTTCTCAAGAGAAATATTGTAACACAGTATTATTAAAATTAATTAAATAAATTGAACATATATTTCAACTTAATGTTTTCCCACTTCTTTAATTTTTTTTTGAATCTCGAAATAAATTACAGATTTATTTGCTGTTTCACTAAAATTACCGATATAATTATGTGTTACAAAGTGTTGTATAAGTGTTACTATACTACTTAGTTAAATAACTGAACAAATTATGTTTTTGTGATATCTGTTATAAAATTAATAAATTATAAATAATCACCGAATGTAACAATACGAGATACATAATGTATAAAATTTTGATTGATTTGCTGTTTCAAAATGTAAAATCAAGAATGAGGCTAAAACAGTACTTTTTGTACTATTATACAAAATGTTTTACATTCCACTTTTATCTCTTTGACAGTCATAATTAAGTTTTAATAAATGTTTGCAAGATTAGTGTTATTGTTTTTTTTTTTTTGAGATATAAATAGAAATTTGGTAAGACTACTTAGTCCGTTTGTTTTCTATTGAAACGGTAAAGAGAATGATGTAGGTGAAAATATAGCATTGGCAGATATTTTATTTAACGTTACAGCCTATTAAAGTCCACTGCTGAACTTTTTTTATAGGATAGGATGACAAACGAGCACACAGTCCACGTGATGGTAAGTGGTTGCTGTGGCCCATAGACATCTACATCTATTCTCGATAAAGAATCAAAATGCAGATGCGTCGTCACCCGTGAGGATTAAGATGGAATGTCTCTTTTTTTCCAGTAAAATGGGTCTCCGGTTCTCTACACTCACTATACGAAACACTGCAGAATTAGCTGTTATTTTACGCTGGTATTGTGTGAGCGTGGTCCTTCCCTGGTCGAGCCGACCCATTCGTGCTAAAACTATACTACTAATATACCTGCAGCATGGCTCTACCACATAGACCTCTCCCATAGATTATCTCATAGGGATGAGATATTTGTCATAATTGCCACGCTTAGCAAGTGGGTTGGCAAAGTACGGTCCTGAGCCACCTGCATCCATAGACTTCTTGCATATCTTACTGGGTCGTCATTTCATCTAATGTGGAGATTCCTTACACTTCGCTCACCTAAATGAGACTTCCAACTGAGAACCTTTTTTCTCCGTCGGTTGTCGATTTTTCAAGCTATATGACAGGCCCATTGCTACTTCAGCTTACCAATCCATTAGGCTATATTGGTTCTTAGTCGTAAGGGTTGACAACACTTCTGTATTATGAAATTATGATTCTTAATCAAGGATAGATGTAATTCCAGAAAGTGGACCTTCCATTGCAACGTAATACCCACTTACCATTAGGTGAAATGTGCTAGTTTGTCACGTCTAAAAAAATACAGACAGATTGAAGATCCGCCTTTTTTTTTTAAAGCCTGTTCAAAAGATAAATGCTTCCCACTCTGCCATTAGGTATAATTATGGCGAGGAGTGGTAATACATGGCACATAATTTAATTTTAAACCGGGACAAGGTTTCAAAAATAATACGTAAGGGGTATTTTATGCATGGGAGTAATACTTATGCCGTCGGGCAAGGACCGGTAATGTCGCATCTATAAAAACACCATGGTGCTCCTTACCTACGCCCACGTTAGTGTATCTAAGGCGCTTGTGGGCCGTGAAAACCTCTGGATGTATTTCCGACGCAATATTCTAGGACGGGCATTTATATATTCATATGCAAACACTGAAATTCAATAAGTCTTGCCGTATATGGACTATGAGAAAGCCTTTGATTCTGTCGAAATTTTTATGGTGCTGCAGTCTCTTCAGCAGTGCCAGCAGGGCTACGAAGGCTATCCGAGTACAGAACCGGAGTACGAAACTTATCCAACTGCAAAGAGGTGTAAGACAGGGTGACGTTATATCCCCGAAACTCTTCACCGCTGCATTGAAAGAAGTTTTCAAATCTATTGGACCGGAAAGGATACGGTATTAACACCAATGGCTAGTACATCATACTTTCGATTTGCCGACGATATAGTTTTTATGGCAGAATCGCTGGAGGACCTAAGCACGCAATGACCTTCTGCCTTCCAACGGATGGGTCTTAAGATGAACATGTACCAAAACAAAGATCATGTCTAACGTACATTCCATGTCACACCTATGCCGGTAGTTGTAATTCCAACTTCGATCGAGAGGTCAATTGACAGGTTCCACTCGGCTGGGCAGCGTTCGAGAGATTAGAACACATCTTTTCGTCAGGTATACCCTACCTTAAAACTTGAAAACAAAATTGTACAACCAGCTCGGCCCCGTTTCATATAACGAGTAGACATAATATATCCCCCGTCCGTAACATGGGAGCCAAATGAAAGTTAAAAAATCATGCTTTTTTGACATTTGAAAGGGATAATTCTATCCTAGTTCATTGGACGTGGGTTTAAGTTTATATTCATACAAAAAATCTAAGTCTAAGTTTATCTTTACCTTTGTCAAATTATGGCCCATCACATTGCCCCCACCCCCTAACGACTACGATGCAATACGGAATGCCTCTTTACCAGTTTATTAAGGGTCTCTGGTTCTTGTCAAACACTGTCCAAAAGACAGGAGCTTTATACTGTTATTTTTAAAAACGTGGAACCTAAAAGGCGGTTAGGCTGGATGGTATCTTCACTGCAATTATGGACATATTAAAGGGTGGTGGAAAGTGAGTCCTATTTATATCCAAACTAGGTGACACTGATCGTAGAGATGTATAGACCTATCAACCTTACATGTGTCTTCTAAAATAAATGAAGAAGTTATGTGAAAGGAAAATAATTTTATCACTATTGATAAACAAACCTCTGTATGTTAAGTGGTATGCTTTCAATTCAGGTAAATTTGCAATCAGCTTCGCATAGAATTAAATCAGATTAAAGAAACCTTAACCCTGAAACCTGGGCCGGCCATATAGCTCGAAGAACCGACAACCGATGGGGAAAAAGGTTCTCGAGTGGCGGCCTCGTAAAGGCGGACGAAGTGTAAGGCGTCCCCCCATTAGATGGAGTGACGACCTGGTAAGACATGCAGGAAGTCAATGGATGCAGGTAGCTCGAGACCGTGCTTTGTGGCATTCCTTGGGGGAGGCCTACGTTCAGCAGTGGATTTGTGAAGGACTGTAATGATGATGATGATGAAAGAAACCTTTCATTACAAGACCTAAGGGCCACCCCAGCCACTCAACCTACTCTCGCTTTTCCCGACAGGATCAAGTAGATGTCTCTGAACTAGCTACCTTACAAAAAACTAGTATAGCAAAGAAAAAAACTAGTTTGTCCTAAATCAATTGTCCATAAGCACTTTGTAAAATATTAAATACTTTTTTTTTTCTAAATACACCTGGTAAAAAGTAAATTTAACAACCATTCTTGGTCAAAACTACTTTTGCCCTAATTCTTTAGTCAAAAATAATTTTGACTGCAAATAGTTTTAACCGTAACATATAAAGTTTCATATTAACTAAGCAATATTACACTTTCTGTGAGTAAATACTACACATTAAAAATTTTTTTTTTTAGTTTTAATCAATATTAGTTGTTTTTAATTTTAATTGCATAGTACAAAAATTAGTAATATATAAAAAATTTAAAACCCCAACACAACTAGCACCAAATTTCAACATTTTAAATAAGTATGCTCAAAAGTATCAAATGGGCAAGAATAATGAAGAAAAAATTGTAATTTTGTTCATAATTTTCTGAATAACTAAGTTTCCGAGAACTGAAACAGTACACAAGTTAAAAAAAATAGATCTTTTGAACAGTAATCATTTGAAAGCACTTACTTTGCATAGTTAAACTAAAGGTGACCTCTGCTTCTTTTACCAGGCTGTCACTTTACCTAGTATTCATTTTACAGTAGACCCTGCAATCCGACATGTCTATAACATATAGGTACGGTAGTCCCATTAATAATCCACCTTCGGGAAAGGTGTTCTTCACAAATACGTGGACAAACAGCTTGTAACTAGCTTGCGTCACCAAGAATTTTGCTTGACACATATTGTCTTAGTTTAAATGACTATGGTAGCGGCCTAGCTGGCGTTAATTATTGACTGTTTAGGTATTTGTAGTGCATTACATGATTATTTGTTTTTTACTCTTTTTCAAAAAGTTCCCGACTACCATGGGGCTGGGGCAGAACCTTATAGTCCAACAAATTTGATAACCCAAGACCACCTTGCAAAACATTTGTCAGATTACTGCGGGTCAGCAGTATATTTTTACAATATTACACTTAACTTACCAGTACCAAGACAAAAACTTTAATGTAACACAGCTGCAAACCATATAATGAAACAATTACAAATCAAAAGCTGTAATAACAAAAATGCTAACTTTAAATAAAATATATAAAATACTAAATTGAATTAAGAGGTATAACGATTGCAAAATAATAAAACATTACAAACTTTTAAATTTTTTTTATTGTCAGCTTACAAGAATTATTCACTTTTAGCAGCCGCTGCTTTAGGTTTCTTCGCTTTAATGGGTCTTTGAGAACGAAGGATAGCCGATGCACGACGAAGTGTTGCAGTGGTCAAATCTGTACGGTAATTATTAGCTTTAAGCAGCCTCTTTACCTTGAATAGAGATCGTCTTGCGCCGGCTTTGAATGGGCGTCGAACAATGTTTTTCGCAGGTTTGTTTGTTGCCTTAGACTTCTTATAAACCACTGTGAAACCTTTTCTGTCAGGGTTTTCAACCACGCTGACTGCTTTCTTGTGAATCAACCCATTGTATCTGTAAGAGTTGAGGTTAGTCACATTGTTTGGCTCCTTACTAAATGGCTTCTTAATGTTACGTTTCTTCACTAAGAAGGCGCTGTTATTGCGGATTATCATCCAATTCAAATGGGACGACATTTTAATATTTTGATAGCAAATCTACCTAACCCCAACGTGTTCACAACGTGTGCGTAGACAAGAAAAAGGAAGAAATTTAGTGTTAGTGATGCGACTCCGACACCGATGCGGATGCGGTTTACACAGCTGTCACTGACAACTAACATTCGAACATTCGATTCTCATATCGAGACTATCGAATACCATTAAATTAAAATAAGATAAAACTTTAGAGCTTAACATAAATACAGAATACTTTCATTTTTATTTTAATATGGAGAATTCATATTATATTTTCCGTATTATAATTTTTTATTTGTAATTTTATAAAGACGTGTCAAATTACGTGTTACAGACCTCAGTTGCCCCGACAGAAGTCGACTGGGCTAGGGCCCATCAGTAGCTCCTTCGACGTACAACCAGAAGTTTCGGGCCTAAATGGTCTATGGATAATTATTAACTAATGGCTAATAAGCAAACACAACTTACCGAGTTCCGGAGGTAGGGTCGACCACGAGGCAAAGTCAGGTGGTAAGTAAGTGGATGTAAAGTGATGTGTGAAAGTGTGTAGATGTAAACTGACGTCACCGATGTAATCTGACAGCAGACCCACAAGCGCTGCTTTTCTCCACAATGTGCTATCACTCCGGTGGGCGTTCACCAATAGAAACTTTCTGCTTTTATTTCACTATGTTAGTTTATCAATTTTATTGTACATTTAATTAACTTCCAATTTAACTAAATAAAAGTTAATCGAACTTAAAAACAAGTGACACACCGCACAACTTAAGAACTGTCGGTCAAAGTTCAATGTCCCATGTTCACTTAGCATAAACTTATAATCTAAAACGAACGCGATCTCCTCTCGGGTCGCAAATTTTTAGCGTTCCACTCGACAAAACAAAATGTCTTATTACGATATTAAAATGACACACAAACAACTCGTCGATGCAAATTAATGGCAATAGAAGTTAATTTAATCACTCAAAACTCCCGAGACGCCTCGTTGTCACGTAAAACGCACGAACAAGACAACGCAATCAGAGGCAGTCGTCACGCGACCGAACTATTCGAGAGTAGTTTCCAGACTCTTTGGGCGCGGCCACTCGGTGAGAAGCGTGTGGGCAAGCGTGCCAGGCGGTGACCTTAAATTACATTGGAATGACACGCCGAGACGCGCGTCTTGAATGCAAGTTTTTTAAAATGTTAATATTTGGCCTAAACCCCGTCCCGGGCATAAGAACTTATGTCCGCGAGAAAATTGGCAAACGGGATAGGTTCGCGACGGCACTCTGCAAGACCGAATCTCCAACCAAAACCTCGGCCACCCTAGGCACCCTATCCGATCCATACGAACAGTTAACAATGCGCCCACGGCGCCAATACAAAGGCAAAGCGTTGGGTTCTTTAACTAACACGAGGTCTCCAACCCGAGGAGGATCCGTCTTGTCAGACCACTTAACGCGCTGCTGCAAAAGACGTAGGTACTTCAGAGACCATCGGGGCCAAAAACTCTGAGTCATCTGTTGCAGCAGGTCAAATCTGCTCAACCGCGAAGAGTTTATTTCCCTGAAGGGGTACTCGGGCAGGGCGTTAAGCGGCTGGCCAATTAGGAAGTGGCCCGGGGTTAGAACCTCCAAGTCATTCGGATCGGACGAGAGGGGACAGAGGAGCCGAGAGTTGAGTACCGCCTCAATTTTACAGAATACAGTGGCAAGCTCCTCAAATGTCAAAATAGTTTCGCCAATAACGCGACGGAGATGCGTTTTTGCAATCTTAAGCACCACCTCAAAAATACCGCCCCAGTGTGGGCAAGCCGGAGGGTCGAATTTCCACTGGATGCCCTTCTTGGACATCGCAGTACCTAAATAAGTCCTGTTGCTGGACAGAAATTCGACGACCTCTTTCAAATATCTATCCGTGCTCTTATAATTCGTTCCGCAATCAGACCGGATCAGGTCCGGCAAACCGCGACGCGATACGAAGCGGCCCAGCGTGGCCAAAAAGGCTTCAGTGCTGAGGGCACTTACAAGTTCTAAGTGAACGGCCTTAGTGGCGAGGCATACGAAAACACACAGATAGGCCTTATGTGAACGCGCGTTACTAAGGTTGGAGGACTTGACGAGGAAGGGGCCAGCAAAGTCTGTTTCGACTCCAGCGAATGGTCGGATGGCCCTGAAGCGGTCGGGTGGTAAGTCACCCATCATAGGCTGCGATATGGTGGCTTTCAGTTTATAACAAGGTATGCACTTAAAGAGGATGCTCCGAATGGTGCGTCGGCCAGCCAAAATCCAAAACTCCCGCTGCAAAATAGCCGAAAGAGCGTTACACGTGCATTCTTAACATGATGATGAGTTACCAGCAACCGCACAAAGGCTCCGTCCTTAGGGAGCAGTAACGGGTGTCGAGCCCCGTACGGCAGTTGAGAATTTTTCAAACGTCCGCCAACGCGCAGCATCCCAGCGTCGTCCAGGAAGAGGTTCAGACGGGCCAGAGCGCCCTTTACAATGGAGCCCCGCTTCAAGGTTTCAATCACGGGCTCAAAATGCTCCGCTTGGACCATACGGGCCCAATGCATCAAAGCTTCGCGACGCTCGCTAGGGGACAAAACGGAATCAGAGATTCGGTTGGATGGGTCTCTCGAATTGCGGATAAATCGACGCAACCAAGCAGTTACTCCTAAGAGCTTATCGAGAGAGCTGTACCGTTCTAGCTGGGAAAAATCCCGAGCGGGCTTATCCTTGCCCACTCCTACTCGGGCTCATAGGCCAGGCAATTTAATCGGTTCGGAGTATTTATTCTGGGGCCAGAATGACTGAGACTCAGTCAACCAACTGGGACCCCACCACAGCGGGTGGTAAACCAAAGAGGGGGCTTCACAGCCGCGAGAAGCGCAGTCTGCGGGATTCAATTCCCCTGGGACATGTCTCCAGTTTAGAGACGTCCCAGAATTCTGGATTTGAGACACGCGGTTCGCCACAAAGACCTCAAGATTGTGAGGTGCAGCTCTGCAACAAAGTACTATCTTACTGTCCGACCAAGCGTAGACGTCCGTAATGTCGATTACAGACTTCAAAGACGAGTGAACGTGGTTGAGGAGTCGCGTGAGAAGAGCAGCTCCGGACAGTTCCAATTTTGGGATAGTTAAGCGGGACCTAATGGGAGCAACCTTGCTTTTAGCAAGTACGAGATGGACGGAAGTATGGCCAGAAGAACTCACAATCACCAAATCGGCGATACATTGAAAATGGGCCAGATTAGGAGTACCCTTAACCGACGAGCGTGTATGCGTAGATATATGGATGTAATGGAGGCAAGAGAGGTGTGTCAGGATCGCGCCAAGTGGAAGTCCGTAGTCTCTGCTTACCTCTCTGGGTGACAGGCGTGAGTGTTTGTGTGTGTGTGTGTGTGTGTGTGTGTGTGTGTGTGTGTGTGTGTGTTGTGTGTAAAACAAATACAGCTATTCGTCGCTAACGACGCAAAGGAGCGAACTTCAATTTTTCAAAGAATTACAGGACAGCAAGGAAACCTTTATTATTCCCCAATTACTAGCTTTTTTTCATCAAAATATTAATCTTATTTGTAGTTCCCATTAAGTCTAATATGTTTAATTTTCTTGAGATTCGCCCCATTGCGGCGTCAACGACGAATTTTTAATAGAATATTTTCCTACAAAAATTTTGTGTTTATTTTATTTTGATCTAGAGATTAAGACTGAATTGATGGTTCCCATACCCAGCCTACATGTTTAGAAACAAATGTTATTAGTTCGCCCAGCTATTGATGGGAGCAAGAGGAAAAAAAATTATATATATCAATTTTTACCAGTTCATTTTAACCAGAGTTTATTTTAACCAGCATCGATATATTCATCTATTAGATCCTATAAAAGTCCACTGCTGAACATAGGCCTCCCCAATAGATTGCCTCAAAGAAGGGTTTTGGTATCGTAGCTGCGCATGGCAGGCGGATTGGCAACCGCAGTTTTTTATTATTTTCAGTTGTTACCAGGCAGTGTAGTGGCAGTGTAATAATATCCAGTACCCGATATCATCCCCTGGTTGTTGTAAGGAGCGACAGACAGAGGTTGAAACAGGTGATGGGCAGCAGCATCTTCCTGATGTCGATATATTTTGCAAAAGATTTATTACAAGATAGTTATACGGGATGCTTTTATTGCTGCTTTTGTTGCTTAATGTATAGTCGATTAATACAACATTTAAAATATATCGAAATTGATACGAATTCGATACTCTAAACAATATCAATAAAACTCGATTAAAAATAACAACGATATATATCGATATATTTATGGGAAAATATCGTAGGCAATAATATCGGCAAGGACTACTCTATTGTACATACTCCCTATGTACAATAGAGTAGTCCTTGCCGTATACCTAAGCGGGATAGCAATAGTTTAATAGTTAAGGTTTGTTAATGATTTTATTTTCTTCCTGTATATCGCATACCTGGTTGTAGATTCATGTACCTGCCAAACACGTCTCTGAATCCAAGGTCGCAGCTGCAGTAGGGCAGCCAGGCTTGTGGTGCCTTGTCTATTTCGCACTGACATCCACCTCTGATTGTTCACATAACTCATTGAAATCACACGCACTAATACATAGATACCTACCTCCACTCTTACACACACACACACACACACACACACACAATCCTTTAAGTAAATGAAAAAAAAAGTTAATGTTGCCGATGACTCTCTATTTTTATTTTCTTGATTTTTGGGAAAAGTAAATTCTATTTACTAATTATAGGTAGTATCAATACAGTGTTTCAAAAATATGTAAGTAATTCATTAACCTCCTAAGATATATATTAAAAGGTTAATGTACTAAATTGAAAATTAAAACTAATTTTTTTATTATATTGTAAATCGCTTTATTTTGCGTTTTGTCTTTTCCTTGTTATTATTATCAGTTTTTGTTTATATAATGTCTTTCTATGTATAATGTAAATGTATGTTATTATCATCTACCAATTTTTTACCGGTAGATAATAAT